CTTAGGAGAAAATCGCAGCTAGTAAAAAAATTGTGACGACACCTTATATGTATGTCTAGCAATAGATCCCGATCTAGACGTTATGACATTACTCAAATTTTATTAATCATCAATCTTCATGCTAAACATACTTGACTTTAGTTGCAATAGAAGTCTCATAACAATCTTCTTTTGTGTGCCTTCAAGCTTCATGTAAATCGATCTATTAAAATATGAACTTGAACTCCTCTTTTTATTCTAACTTATCTGAGTTTACCTTTTCTCATGTTTTGAATATTTAGCTCTGATATCACTTGTTAGGATCACAATAGCTCTAAAACTACTTATTAGGCAAACAAAGCCTTTAATCAATTAAACAATCCAAGCCAACAGAAGTATAATCAAACCATTAATCAATCACACAAAATATAGCAATTTAACGTGATTCAGCTTAATTGACCTACATCTACAAATGAGAAAAAAGATTCACTAATTATAGAGAATTACAAACATATATCAAATCAAACACTTATAATCAATACCCATATACCCTCTCAATCTTATCTAGTCTTATAGAGTATTCTTAACCTAAATAAATATATATCCATGTGCACTTATACACCATATCTATATGGACTATCTCAGTTTCCTCTAGTTCACTCACAAATATACAAACATACATACCCATAAAAAATAAATTTTTAGTAATCTTATGGGATGTCTATATCATGTTTCGAGACTGAGACATAACATGGCCATATTACTTTGAAGTGAAAATCCAAAGTAATACAAAGCTTATTCCATAACCATTGAAAAATCTTCAAATAAAATAAGGTTCTCAATGAGTTTTAATATCTATAAAATAACTAAATAACAGGTCTCCAAAGTGTCAATTCCAAGTATTACAACTAAAAAGAAACAATACTTCATAAAATCCTATTCTTTAAGTAGTTCTCCAATGCTCAGATTCTTCTAGCTCCTCACAAGACTAATAATACATCATTCATATTATATGTAAAAGAAAAGAAAATGAAAATGAGCAAATCACAATTCAGTAAATATAGGCACATACACATTACCGGATCAAACATTATTTTTATACATACTATATGGATTATTCCAAAAAAATTCATCAAATCATAATGTCCAAAACAATTCAAAAATCATCATTCTATCAAACATTTCGTAGATCATAAATCAATATCAAAACATATAATTTCTCACTTATAAATCATAAATTACAATTAAATACGTGTTTTATACAAATCATGGATCAATCTTTAAAATCATCATAAGTCACCATTAATCATTAGTTCACCATTAACTACGATCACTACTATAACCCATGATATTGACCATATCGACAAATTCATCTTCATGATCATTGCTAACTCTAATAACCCACTAGCTAGGGCCTAATGCTAACTATTATAACCCATTAGCCAGGATTGTATAATCATATACATGCTAACTACTATAACCCTTTAGCTAGGGCTATAGAACTAGTTTTGGTGTTGATGATCTCACTTTTCATAAATGTAAAAATATAGCTATCATAAAATCGTTCCTTAAACATAAATCATTTTCTCATTTAATTCATAAGCATGATCCATCATTTACATAACAAAAACATGAAATAATCATATGCTTGATCCTATTTTCATATATAAAAAATAAAGAAATAAAACATTTATTTATTTAGAAACATACATATATATAAGTTTAAAAATAAGTAAAGTGTATAAGATTCTACTTACCTCTTTTCGATTCCACTACTTAGTTTTTTCTCCCAAATAATTAATGGCCTATTCAAGATAATTTCAACATAATAGTAATTAATCAACCCATTTTGAGACTACTTATACCAAAAACAATTAGGTTAAGCAAAAGTTAACTCAACTAATTAATACTAATAGCCTAAGCTTTTTTCACTAAAATAGCCATATCTTAAGATATCCAATTCAGAATTAAGATCTTTTTAATGCATTAGAAACTAGACTCGATAAGCTTTCTAACTTTGTATGGCCCATCTCATGATTCTTTGTAGATTAATTATAATAATTTTTGCAATCCACATTATATGCTGCTTCTAGATAGCATGTATATCTTCTAATAAAAATTACATATTTATTCATAGGAGACTCAGAATTCAGTTCCATTTGTTTTAGAGGAAAGTAGACTTAGTGATATTTTCAAACATGTATGGCTCAATACATAATTCCTTGTATAAAATCTAAGAGGAATTTCATAATTTCTCCCTGCTGATGCTACTAGGAAACCTGTACATCCTTAAGTAAAAATTAAATTACTTTTCATAGAAAATTCAAAATTGACTTCCATTTATTTCATCAAAAAGTAAATTCAGCAAGCTTTCCAATGATATATAATAATCATAGTAGTATTTTATCCCTTAATACAAAATATTATCTTAATCCATCGCTACAAGTACCAAACTTCAAACGAAACAGAAAATTTCCTTTCTAACCTCATCAAATTTCTTTTTCCTATTTTTATAGCAATAAAATCACATTACTAAACTTTTTTAACACTTTATTATACCATAATTAAAGTCTAAATGATTTTCCCAAACTAATCTTGAATAGGGATAATGGATTTCTTGAAATTTTAAGGTTTTCCAATTACAAATTACACCTCTAGACTTAACAATCAACATTATTTCTCCAAAATTGAAGGAAATTTTTTACTCACCTCTGACAAACAATTCTCTTTGTAGATTTTGTTCTTACCCTTCACTTGATATCCTTTTATTTGTATTTTTTGTATACAAAAGAAAGAAGAAATAAGTCTTTTTTTTTCTCGATCAATTATTGACCAAACAAATAGTATATGCTAACCCTATTAAAAGTTAGATTATTTATCAATAGGTTCTATGCATTTTTCATTCTTTATTAAAAAGTCCATCCACTTATAAAAATACTTGAAATAATTTTTTTTTTTACGGATGTTACAGTCTATTCCATAAAATCCTACAACTCTCTTATATTTTTTTTTCATACCTAACCTTAGATACTCCACTTGTTTATAAGCATATAAACTTACTTATTAAGAATTCATTTCCTTTAGGATTCTTTTTTTGTAAGTTTTTTTTTCATCAAAAAATATCTTGACAATCTCAAATAAATTTATTATGAGATTTTAGTCATAATTCTAACAAAAAATGATGAAAATCAAAACTCTATAAGTAAAAAAAGGAAAATTAAGGCACAGGATTGAAACGCTTTGAAGCTTGAGCCGAATGTTATTCAATCTTTTTATTATTTTAATTTTTTTATCTAAACTCTGCAATAAAACTCTTGTTTTGATTTTATTTCATCGAACTTCTAGTCTTTCATTGTGCCTTTTTTATGTTTGATTGATATAATATCACTCCAAGAAATTTGTTTAGATGGACTTCAAGTTGCGATGGTAGGAAAAGTAAAACAAAATTTATTCTTTATATTTTCATAATCATAAAAAAAAAAAATTTAAAAAAACCTTGATCTTTATGTTGGAAAAAACAAGAACATAAAATAAAAATAAAAAAATAAAAAACCGAAGAGAGAGGAAACGAAATCAAAACTCCATGATGAGTTTTTTTTTTTTTTCTTCCATTTTTTTATCTTAGTTATTACTGATATTTAGATAAATTAGTTATCAGGTTTAGAATCTATACGAGTTATAAGATCAGGGTGTTTGTGGGTGTATGATATTAATCACTTGGATTTTAGGAATCGTAAAAAATTATTTTTTAAGATTAAATAAATATAATTTAAATTCATAAATTATTACTATTAACCTGTGGATTAGTATTCCGGTATTTATTTCAATGATTAATACATTTTTTTTCTGTTTCAAAAAATTGAAACCGAATATCCTGTAATATTATAAATAAACCTTAACAAGTTAAGAATTCTTATTGTGTCAAATGAAATCGTTTTAGGCAAACTCCTTGTTCCAAGATGAAAGAACTAAAAGAATGTTTGAGCCTACGAGGTGTCTGGATATTCTGCAAATCCAAAATAGCTAGCACAACTGATCCGGAATTAGTTGTTTGAGTCACAAATTCACTTGTTTTCAAAGAACAAAGATCGATGCAGTGAAACAACATTTTAACCTGTTAGATTTTCCATTTTTCCCCCAATGAAATACAGTACACATATGAATTCCAGATTTTTTTTTTTAAAGTGTTCACTTATATAATATATATATATATATATATAAAGATTGTTAATGGATTTATCATTTTTATTAAAGAATAAAATGTTTAAGTAAAAATTTTCTTTTAAAATTTTTATTTTTTAATCTTTAAAGGTGTATAAAAGAAAATTTTGAGAATGTTTTCAAAAATATTTTCTTTAAATTTTGCTGTTTTTAATTTTAGAAATGTTCATGGATAACCTAACATAAAAGGTGGATCCGCCAATACAAACACGTGCATAATGATAAAATATATGAAACTTACACAATTTAAAATCTTAACAAATAATATACGAATTTGACAAAAAGTATATATAAATATATATAATTTTTTTTATACATTTAGTATGTTGAAATAAATTGCAACATAATAATTTTTATATTTTACATATATTTAATATAAAATAAAATAATATAAATACATAAATTATTAAATTTATAAACATATATATACTTAGATGTTGTTCGTTACAAAACCTAAGCAAAATTTTATCTGGCATTGCTCGGCAGAAGCAGCCAGCTAATTATCCCACTTACGACGTTGGGGGCCATATGCGCCCGTCAATAATATCATTGTGAAACATTAATTTCTTAATTAGTTTTAACTAAAAAAGTGTTAATAACACCATTTCGCGTATCTTCCCGAAATTCTTCGGTCTCATTGTTCCATCCCATTAGTAAACCACCAAGTGTGGTAGGCGAAACCTGTACCAATCAGAATCAACCACGCGTTGAAGTTGCCAAGATGGCAGTGAAGTAATCCTAAGCAAGTCTTAAAAGGTGGATGGTCAAGGAGGGTAAAGTATTTTTACACAATGCCACGTTAGTCGACGTGTAGGTCCCTTAAAGCACTTAGGTATCACTCCTTCACCTTATAAAAGGCTGCCCTTGATCACCTTCATCACAGCAAACCATATCTAGTGTAGCTTGCAACAACTGTTCGAGTCTTACATTGATATCTTCAAAGCAACTCGAATTTGTAGGAATACCAACTTAGTTCATTGAAATGGGAACTATCGGAGATTATGAGTGCCCACAGCGGGTGCCGATTCCTCCTTCGAAACCATTTCTAAAGTCTTTACAAACAAATCTCAAGGAGACTTTCTTCCCTGATGACCCTTTTAGGCAGTTCAAGAATCAGCCTACTTCCAGGAAGTTTTTGTTAGGATTACAATACTTTGTACCAATCCTGGAATGGGCTCCTCGTTACACTTTCGACTTCTTCAAGGCTGACTTGATTGCCGGTATCACCATTGCCAGTCTTGCAGTTCCTCAAGGGATAAGCTATGCAAGTTTGGCCAGCATACCACCAATTATTGGACTTTGTAAGTTCATTTTTTCCCTTTTTTTTCTCTTTTGTTAATGAATAATCATGTACTCTATCTAGTAGAAAATGTGAAATAATGAACTTGGAACGCAGATTCAAGCTTTGTTCCGCCGCTGATATATGCCATGTTGGGGAGCTCCAAAGATTTGGCAGTAGGGACAGTAGCTGTGGCATCACTTCTAATATCTTCAATGCTTGGGAAGGAGGTTAGCCCTACTGAGAACCCCAAGCAATATGTTCAGTTAGTCTTCACGGCTACTTTCTTTGCCGGTGTGTTCCAAGCTTCCCTTGGCATCTTAAGGTAAATGAGTTTAATTACAATTTGTCATGTGTCTTAAATTTTAATTAATGTCGTAACTAATTGTGGACAAAGACCGAGTAAAAAGTCTAAAAGATATTCAAATAATCCTTGATTAGTTGATGATTACATGGTTCTAGTTAATATTAAATTTTGTTTGTTAAAATATTGCAGACTTGGGTTTATCGTGGATTTCCTGTCACATGCAACCATAGTGGGATTTATGGGTGGAGCAGCCACAATTGTGTGTTTGCAGCAATTGAAAGGGATGCTTGGTTTAGTCCATTTCACTCATGAGACTGATCTTCTATCCGTCATGCGCTCAGTTTTCGGCCAAATTCACCAGGTTAATTCATTTACAACCATTTTATTTTTTGCTTAATGACATTTTTTAACATCTTTTTTGCACTTAAGACCGTTAAAATTTGAACTCTGATAATTAAAACTATGAGAGTCCTACATTTAACTAATAAACCACTCGGCTGTTGGAAAAATTTTTTTTGAACAGGACATTTTTTAACATTAATTGCTCATGTTAATGTATATGTTGAAATAGTTAAGATATTTATTAATTATTATATTGTGGTGGTTGCAGTGGAGATGGGAGAGTGCTGTCCTGGGCTGTTGTTTCCTTTTCTTTCTTCTCCTCACAAGATACTTAGTGAGTACATGCTATAGCCTCTTTAATTTGCTTCTAATTCATATCTTTTTTAGAATCCAAATCATTCATTAATATCGTAGACATATAATATCAAGAGTATACATACGTAAAGTACCTATTTCAAAAAAGAATATTACAGTATAATAATATATATTAACTTTGCATCGTTTTTATTAGTTTTTTTCCTTTGGGATTAAAAAATTTATGTATAAAGGTTGGATTCCATTCATGTAGAGCAAGAGAAAGGCAACCTTCTTTTGGATTAACGCCATGGCACCGCTCACCTCAGTTATTTTGGGAAGCATTCTCGTTTATCTGACGCATGCAGAAAAACATGGCGTTCAAGTGGTCAGTCACTCTCTCTCTCATCCTTTAATCATATTCATGTATATTGGTTCCAAATATCTAATTTATGTTTGATATCAATTATCCATTAACATGTATTTATCTTTTTTGTATCGAAATTTTAAAAATTAAAAAAAAAAATTCATCATTACATGAACCTCGAAAAGAGTTTCTGAACTAAATTCCAAAAGCCGAAAAGAAGGATTGGGATTTGAATACAAATTGTCATGCAAAGTTCCAACTCTTTGACAGAAAATTTATTAAGCAGCTGGAAACCTCTGCAGGCTGATGAGGATGTGGTTTTAGGATAAGTAATATTTATGAAAATTTTGTTGGTTTCTGACTCCAGATTGGGCACTTGAAGAAAGGGTTGAATCCACCGTCTGCGTCAGAGCTGGCGTTTGGATCGCCCCATTTGATGGCAGCTATGAAAACAGGAATCATCATTGGCGTCATTGGCCTTGCTGTGAGTATTACTAATCTCATGATCCTTTGACGTTTTTAACATCACAGTTTTGTCACTAAAATTATGCTCCCCAACTTGCTTTTTCAGACACAATTGCACATAATCGTTTACCTCAAAAACAAGAGTTGGCTTTGTCTAATCACATGTCATCTTGTTTTTGGTTGGGTCCATACTTTTGGCTTTGCACCAATTGCCTAATTATGTTTTTCCACCGTATCACTTTATGTTAAATTAAAAAAAATATGATCATTTCGATTATTAATTTAAATATTTTTATATTTTATACAGGAACCAAGTAATTCTATAAGTGGAGAATAATAAATAAGTGAACTTTAATAAGATTTAATTGAGATAATTTATGTTTTCACTTTTAAAAAGTGAAAATTTCAAACATTTACAATCATCTTTTTATTTCAAATTACAATTTCTTTTATAAACAAATAATCTTGGAATCCAACAAAACCGAGAATAGGTTACAAATATTTGAATTTGTGCATATTTAATATAGAGTTTGATTGTGATAAATATTATATAGGAAGGAATTGCAGTCGGAAGAACCTTTGCCATGTTCAAGAACTATCATATTGATGGGAACAAAGAGATGATAGCCTTTGGGATGATGAACATTGCTGGCTCTTGCACTTCTTGCTACTTGACTGCAGGTACTGCTTCATATCTAGCTAATAAGTCATGCCCTGTAACAAGTTTTGCCCTTTGAGAAATCCATAACAAGGCCAGAGCCCATTTTTCACCCATAGAAAATGCCATGACTAATACCCATATTTGCTTTTATAGTTAGAAAATTTTTGAACTTATCATTTGTGGATCCTGGCTATGATTGCAGGACCATTTTCAAGAACTGCAGTGAACTTCAATGCCGGAAGCAAAAGTGCAGTTTCGAACATTGTCATGGCAACAGCAGTGATGTTCACTTTGTTATTCCTAACACCATTGTTCCATTACACTCCTCTTGTGGTGCTTTCCTCTATAATTATATCTGCCATGCTTGGCCTGCTTGACTATGAAGCTGCTATCCACCTTTGGAAAATTGACAAATTCGACTTCTTCATCTGCTTGGGCGCTTATCTCGGCGTTGTCCTTGGCAGTGTTGAAATTGGTCTAGTCATTGCGGTAACTAGAGTTAAATCTTGCCAAGTTATAAGCCTATATACAAATTAAGGTACATGAAATCATTGATACAATTTCTATCTACCAATGCAGATCACTGTTTCCCTGCTAAGGATTCTTCTATTCGTGGCGAGGCCTCGAACATTTGTTCTAGGCAATATTCCAAACTCTGGTATCTATAGAAGTATGGATCAATACCCAATTGCAAACAAGGTTCCAGGGATTCTCATACTTCAGATAGATGCACCTGTTTACTTTGCAAATGCAAGCTATCTTAGAGAAAGGTAGGCAAACACTTAACAAAGCTTCCTGACATAGTTGGGAAGGTTATAATGATTACAAACCTGAAACTTAATTAAGTTAGTCCATGCAATCTCTTTTAAAAAATAAAATTTAATAAGTCTAAAATTAAAATCTCAATATCTACAACTCTTTCCTCTGTCTGCATATTGTAACGTCCTTTATACAAAAAAAGGGATTAAGCTCACTGGCGGATCCATGAAGTGGGGTTTCCATGGACACCTCCAAGAATTAAAAAATAAGAAAACTCTGAAAGAAAATTTTCTTCTAGATACTCAAAATTTTACTCTAGTTATTTTTTCGTTGATAAAATTAATAAATTTGTTAACAATTATATATATATATATATATATTATAAATAGGCACCTTAAAAAAATCCTGAATCTGATTAAGATGACTGCTATATAATTCATCTGGCCTCTATCTATTCTTCCAGGATCTCGAGATGGATTTATGAAGAGGAAGATAGGGTAAAATCTGCGGGAGAAACAAGCTTACACTATGTTGTATTGGATTTGAGTGGTAAGTGAAGATGAGTCAAAAAACAACATAAGAAAAATCAGAACCTACAAATAAATATTACTTGTAACACTCAAGGAAATTTATTTTGCAGCCGTAGGTAGCATTGACACGAGTGGGACCAGCATGCTCGAAGAAGTCAAGAAGAGTGTTGATAAAAGAGGTCTTAAGGTGAAAAACTATTTTCTGCCACATTTCGTATTTAGAGTTTTTCTTACATCTAAAACTGTTTTGCTTAAATCAAGTATATTTTGTCATTGATTTCAGCTTGTATTAGCTAATCCACGAAGTGAGGTGATGAAGAAGCTAGACAAGTCCAAACTCATTGATACAATCGGTCAAGAATGGATCTACCTGACAGTAGGAGAGGCTGTTGCAGCATGTAATTTCATGCTACACACAGGGAAGTCGAATCCTGTTCCAATTGACTACAATGCACAAGAGAACAACGTGTAATTTATAATCAATTAGACGAATGAATTTCTTGATGCTAAGGTACAGAGCTTTAAGGCTACGATTCACCTTTTTTGGTTGCTGAAAGAAGAAGAAATTTTGCAGGAAGTGCTTATATGTATAAGCTTTGTACTATTATAGCTGAAATATGACATGTAATTCTCACCAAAAACAAAGATCTACTCGGATCCTTATCTCCTTAAATAATGTTTACTAGTGAAATCAAAGCATCCAAGCATCAAAGCAACAAACATTTTTTTTTATTGACATTTATCTTTAATACTGTTAGTATCTATTTCGTATCAAATATAAATATAATATAAAAATTATCATATCATAATTAATATCGTTACAATTAATATTATTACGTGAAACAAAAAAAAAATTTATTTTCATCAAACCCATATGACTTACTAAAATTTTTAACCTTTCATATCATATATCACCATATCATGTGGAAAATTATATCCAATTCTTAGCACAGGTAAATAATTCATATTTTGAAAATTTTGATAAATATAGCATATCAAATTATCATTGATATAATTATATTTTCGAAACCAAGAGTAATTTCTCATCATGTGATTCAATTAATAACAATTAATCAGATTAATTTGTTGTAGCCTGTTCCATTCTGATGAATTTTCAATATCCTGATTGTTTTATAGATTTTCAATATAAAATGGCAGATACAATCTAGAGTTCAATAGCATATGATTGTTCCTGTTCTCATCAAATCCCATGCCGATAACATTTTGCACAAACCACCATGGTCCTAAGAATCATGAAACATACAGATTTCTAGATCATCTTCGATAGCAAATGAGCTAAAAAAAACACTTGACGAATGGACAAAACTACAGTGGCCCATCACTTTGTACAGATAATTACAACAGAAAATAATAAGTTATACACCAACTAGCTTTGCTGTGATTCCAACATACAACATGAGTATCGAACAAGAATCAATCATAAACCCACTCTGAGTCGAAACACATGAATCACCAAAGGCAAGAAAGCAATTTCAACAAACACCCAGAAAATGCAATGACTCAAAAAGGCTGGTAAACTTCTTTAGAAAATTTTCAAAATCAAGAACATGAATGCTATTTGACTCAAAAAAGTACCTAGTTGCATATTTTCACATCTAAAATGAAATTCGTATCCAGCTCAAAGCAACAAGGAAGCACACTATTTCTTTCAGCCAAAGATAAAGTTCATGAAGAATTGGACAGCTTTTCTTTGAAAAGTCGTGGAAGCACTTCATGTGCACCAATATCCAGAACCTCCGGATCCCTGAAATGCACAAAGGTGTTCAGACAAAAATAAACTTTCAGTAAAGTAATCAATTTCATACAATAAATTTTTACCATAGCATATTCAATATATTGTTGAAGCATTAGGATCAAATATAATAGATCAAGCAACATTGATTTCCATTTGAGACTTTCAAAAAGATTTTTCCTTGAAAGCAGCAATCCAAACTTAAAACTTAAGACTGATGTAAAAGGAAACCAATACAATCACTCTCCACCATTTCATCAGATCATAAATAAACAGAGTTATATTCTGCAGAACATAAATGAGTTTTTAAATTCATCTACCATCAAAGAACATCTGTTTCCCAACCCCTAACTCATCAGGTGCGCAAAGTACAGCGAAGAATCAAAGTCAAAGCTCCATATGGGTGCAAAATTTTCAAATAAAATGCTGCCAGTGAGACAAAATGCAAGAAAATTTATAAGCCAGCTAATGTACACACTCTCTTTCACTTGCAGTAGTTAGGAAGGTAAAGTAACTTTCTAACAGATCAGCACATATTTTAAGAGAATGAATTCTCCAAATGCAATTTCAGGGCAATGCATTCATGGCACAAGTAACAAGACACATTTCAACCGCCATATAAATTTTAGCAATTTAAAATACTAAAGTTGCATCTGATTATCTACACATTTATTATGGATGAGATTGCAAGCATGCATAGAGAGAGAGAGAGAGAGAGAGAGAGAAACCTGCACAATGTCTTCCCCATCTCATTGGAACTTGAAATAAACCATAGTTTTCGCAAAAGCGGTGACTCAAATTGAACAAAGAAACCATCATGTTGCCCATGTCTCCACTTCCTTGACCCTTGACCTTTCCAAACCTGCAACGATACCATTGAATCAAAGGAGCTTGTAGCCTTCAATCTTGTATTATGCACTGAATAAACCATCAGCTAACTTAATGTAAACATGTGATTAGATCCTTCAAGCATAACTTAGATTCAGAGATGACAGGACTCTCAATAGCATGCAAAATTGAACAAGACTAGCCATCTCCTTTTTCTTCCTGAGAAGCAAAGAACATCCACCAACTTTGAACTTGCTCAAATATATTGGGCTCAGAGCAGAAAATCTAACCCCAATGAAGTTACATTTATATCATTAAGCACTAATCAAATTTTCTACAAAATGTTTCTAGTATTTGTAATAAGATCATTAAGACTTGCATTTGCTAACCCAGCTATAAATTGTGAATCAGCCCTACGCTTCCTCACTACTGTTAAAAGAAATGACTATTACTTCACAAAATCAAGAAGCACTAATCTATTCCATGAAGAACAAATAGAAGACAAAATATAATGTGGAAAACAAGACATACTTAGCTAGAACCATTAGCTATAATTTTTAAGGATCATAAACTGCAACATATAATAAGAACTAGTATTCCTTTACTTTTCATTGTAGATAGAAAGCTAAACTCTCCAGCACTTCAAGTCTTCAACCAACTGTACCAACTTAAAATTTATCAGTTTATCTAAATTACCATATAACCTTTCAAAAAAAACATTATACCATAATTACATCCCCTGCACTGAAGAAAGTTAAAAAAAAAAAGGCACAAGACAGACAGATTTTGCAAATTAAAGTTGCATTTAAGAATATCCAAAAGCATTTGGTGGTTGTCCACAAGGCAAGTCTCTATAGCAATTTAGAACAAATAAGAAGTTACCTGCGGATAAGCTATGATACTTTTGGGTGCAATTAAACAAGCTGCTCCAGAGAAAGAATCTTCAGCATATTGCCTCAGAAATGAAAAACAACTGCTGTGCGTGTGGGGTGATTCAAATGCCTGGCACAAGAGGAAAGATGCCATTTTCATTAGATATGGTTGAGAACCATTTTTCTTTTAATTTGGTTGAAATATAAATTAGATAGCTATTTAATTCCTATTTCTTGAATTGGCTGTAATACACATTAGATAGTTTCGAAAGTCTAATACCTTGTCAATGTTGACAACTGGAGCATATTTATCAGTCTGTGTCTTCTCCTTATCAAGAAGGAAGTAGACTCTAGGATCCACTTTTGAAGTCTCATGCCATGATTGTACAGCTGTTTCCATTGTCTCAACAAGAAAAGAAAACATGTCTTTCCAACAATCTTCAGCTGCATACTTTTCAGACTGCAAAGAGAAAGGCCAAATATTTTTTGTCAAGAGGTAAAGCGGAAAGAATCCTACTAATGATTTCAAAACTCTACACCAGTAGGTGAAAATTTTACTAGAATAGTCTTAGCAGACAACATTTGCAAACGAGAAAAGAAAACAGAATCCACAATCAAACCAAAGATCAAATATACAAATAAAGCAAAAAATAAACTACTAAACTACACACACACACACACACACACATAGCATGGAAATCATAACACTATGCTCAATGAACTCACCATTTCAGATTTCAGTGTTTCCAAGCTTTTTGCTATATCTATATTAGATCGCAAGTTTTGCACTTCTTGAGCTCTCTTTTTATCTTTTGCAAGCTGGGAAAGCCTCTTAATTTTTCTTGATACTTCTGCACTTTGTGGGTTGTATTGCAAAGCTATTTGGAAGGCAGCTAAAGCCTATAATAATTTAATATTTGGAATATCAGCATCATAAACAAATAGCATCGTCTCTTTATCAAAGTTTGGAGGGAGCTAGGAACTTACATCATCATATCGTTCCATGGCCTCTAATATGCATCCTCTCCGAAAATATCCCTGGAAATATACCAAAACACACAAATTAAACAATTCAAATTCAATGACTATCTAAAGGCAATCACTCTTGGCCCCATCACCACCATCCAGAAAAAAAAAAAATACAATACCGAAATCTACCTTTTCCCATTGAGGATTCAATGTGATTGTTGTCTCAGCATCAGTCAGTGCTTTGTTAAGTTTAACCAAATTTAAAAATGCTGCTGCTCGATTGCTAATTCAAGAAAAGAGAAGTACATTGAAATTCTAGCATTGGTGCCAAAAAAAAAAAAAGAATACAGAGGTACACATCCAACTACATATCTGGAACACGTAGAGAAGTCAAAAAGGACAAAAACTAATTACAGAAAATGAACCAACATTCATCAATAATGGCATAAAATTAAATAACTAAAATCAGAGTTAGCTTCCATTTATATGCTATTTCTTATTGAACACACACCAATAGGGTATATGAGTGTGTTTAAGACATTACTAAATACTGCCATCCTGGAATCAAGCAATCAATTAAACAAAATTTCAAATATCAACAACCCATACGCAAAATGAATAAAAGCCCCAGCATACTGTTGCATTGTATCAAACTACAAAGGAAATGCACAATGGTTTCTTCTACACTTTATCTACCACAGCAAATGGTTGATACAAACGAGATAACACGAAACATTTTACAACATAAATAAACGCCCTAATGTTAGGGTTCTCAAGAATTTATTTATGGACATGATGTTTGAACCAGACAATGATTACAAAAGCTAAAAGAAAAGTCAAGTGCAACACAATATAAGCCTGCAAATAGAAGAAAACCAATTGAGCTGAAAAGAGCTTTTAACATCAATTCCAAATTGCTTTTAAGAAGACTCTCAAACAATAATTAAGCAATTTAAAACAAACCCAAGATTGCAATTTGTTTTTATAAAAATCTCAAAACCTCAACTAATCAAACCTAAAGTCATTAATTTACCTATAAAGAGTAGGATTCGATGGGTCTTGCTTAATGGCCTGAGTGTAAAGAGCAGCAGCTTTGAGGTAGCTCCCAGCCTTGAAAAATTCATTCCCTTTATCCTTCAATGACATCTCTTCAGACCCTCCTTTACCAGATCCTAACTCTGCTTCTGTCATCCTATTCAATCACACAGAGATTCAAATTCAAACAAAGGTGCTATTTTTATCTCTCTTTTCTGGGTAATTTTATTTGTTGTAGCTAGGGTTAATGTGTGAGAGAAGCTTTTTTTTTTTCTTGATATGTTTGGAGGTTTTTAACAGCGTAATAACTGATGGTGTTTCGAAGGAGATCCTGCTTGATAGGGTTTTAGAGTAGAGGAAACATGGGATTGGTTTTGATAGAGCCAAGCCGAGCCACGCCAAGCGAAGGAGTTTCTAGTTGTTAATAAGTTTGTTGTACCACCTGGTCTTGTCTAATAAAGGGGCAAAGATTTGGGTGTTAAAAACAGTATCTAAGTACAAAGCCCATTAGAAATGGGTTATTTCAATTATAGCAACTAAACTAGCTTCTTATTAGTGTAATATAGGAATTATTTTTATTTATTTAAATATATTAAAATATATAAATTAATATTATTTAATTATTTAGATATTTAATATATAAATATAAGATACAAATAATATAATTAAGAAATCAGAATATAAAAATTAAAATTTTTAATTAAAAAATTCAAAACATGTAATAAATTTTGAGAAAAAATAAAATATTCAAAAATTTATATGTAAATAATATTATTGAGTGCACCAACAAAATATTAAATAAAAAATAAAAGTTTTTTCACTTCAAATTAACTTTTTTCAATTTGTGTCCTTTTTATCTTGTCAATCATTTTTATATACTTGCAAGTTTATATAATTTTAAGATAAGTTTATTTATTTGAAAAAATAATAATTTTAAATATTTAAATAATATATGTGATAGTTTACTCGCATATACATTTTTTGCATAAATTTTAGTCATATCTTGATTTTCAACATTTATAAGGTTTGTCAAATTAATTTTTATACTTATTTTATACTTTACATTTAATATAGCATTGTGTTACTGTAAAAATTGAAATGAAATAATATTAAATTTTAAACAATTATTTTAAAATTTGTTGTAAAAAAGTTTTAATGAGAATGTGTTAATTCCTATTCATAGAATTTTATAATCAATTTCAAAAAAAAAGAATTTGCTTTTTTGCTTTTAATACTTATGTTTCTTTTTTAAAAAAAAAAGCCAATAATACTAAAAAAATTAATTATAAAAAATTAATTTCAAATAAATAAACATGAATTTACTTTTATATAAAATAATTATGTTAGGATTACTATTCATTTTAGTCATTTACCTTATTTATAATTTAAAAAAATAAAAAAAGTGCAACAAAATTAATAATTAAAAGTAAGCTTATATAATCTTTTCTAAATAAATAAATAAAACCAACACACAATATCTAAACAAATAAATCTATATTTTTTTAATTTTAATTGTCAAAATATTTCAAAAGAGTTATTATTATGGAAGGTAGTCCATCCCATATCCAGTGGGTTTTGACCCAATCTTATCTATTAACCCAACCCGACTTGATCTTATATATAATTATTTTTTAATTATTTATTTAATTATATATTTATATTAAAAATAATATTTTATATTTAAAAAATAATATTTTATTAATTTCAGGTCAAGTCAGATATGATTTTATACAATATTAGGTCGAATTAAGTTCGGGTATAAAAAAGTAAAATAAAAAAATTATCAAGTCAGGTGGTTTCGGGTTTTATATATAAAGTCAAGTCAGATTCGAGACGAGCAAAAATTCACCTTCACCTAACCCATTACCATCCCTAGTTGTTATTGTATTAAACCGATTTTCTTCCTCTGCTCCAACATTTATGAAATATCAAAAAATTTCTATAAGATCCATGCACACACTCTTGAATAAACAAAATAATCAAAGTTTTCATAAAAATTTTAAAAATAAAAAAATATTGACTTTAACTTTTTAACAAGCTGATACACATATTATAAAAAATATAATAAAAAATTATGCATCTCATATATCAAAATATTATAAAAATATAATAAAAATTTAGTGTATCTCACAAGTTAAAAAAAAAATCATTTCTTTGCAAGTATAAAGGTTAAAAAATAGAGAAATAGAATTAACATTAAGATTATCGTTAAATAATAAATTATGATCTTTTAATGTATGTAATATTTGGTCTTTTTACATTTAAATAATTAAAAAATAAATTATTATTATGAATTTTCTAAAAATAAAAATTATATTTTAAATTTTCAAATTTAAGATGACATATATTTAAATTATTAAGAAATACATTTTATAATATCACTAAATTTTATATTTTTAGGTTTAAAAAGATATATATATATATATATATTTATGTTATTATGAAACCTATTTTAAAAGATAATATAACACTATATTTAAAAATTTTAAAAATATATATTTAAATTATTTGGAAATACATTTTTTTAAAAATAATATATTTAAATTAAGTTTTGTTGCTAACAACTTAAAAATAATTGAATTGATTTTTCACTTAAATTTGAAAGTTTTGGATAATTAAATAATTTTTAAATATATTTTTTATAAATATCTTAAAATTAAGAAATATCTTATATGTGATTATAGAATGAGAAATTTTAGAGATTTTCGTACGTATTGAAAATAAAATCATCTACCTAAGTATCTACGTAAGCAAATATTATCAAATTTTTATATATGTTATAATATAATATTATATATGATATACGACATATGATTATGAGGCCTCATCCTATTTGTCTTTTGTAATTCATTACACGAACAATTAATAGTATTAATTTTGAATCCAAAATTTAGTTTATTTATTATTTGTTCATATAATTACTTTTAAATGGTGAGATTTAGTGAATATGGAGCTTATATTTCAATAACTACAATATTTTTCTTATTTCATTATTCATACTATAACCTTTTTTTATCAAAATAAATAAATAAATATATATTCCATTCAAACAAATAAGTGTATGATAAAGTTTGATAAAATAGAACTCAACTTTTAATTTAATTATTTGATATAATCATGTAAAATTAAAAGTTTACTTTAGTTAGTTCATTTAATCATCTTTAAAATAATATATCTAATAAATCTAAAATTCAAATTTTAATACTTATAATCTTTTTTTACAATTTTTTATATTAAAAAATTAATAATGAAAATTATTTTCAATCTAAGATCTCGATTTGCTTTCCAAGAGGTAGAGCTCCCTCATATTATGATATACCCTCTCATCTTTGAAGAAGAAGATATTCAATTTTAGTTTTTTAATACAACTATTTAAAAAAATTACAAGCTAAGCTAACTACTTAAATTTTTTTAAAAAAATATGATGAACATTATAAAACAATATTGATACTAACTGAAACATTGTAAAATTTGTTATACACAATGAAAAAAAAAAAAAGAAAGAGAGAGAGAACAATAGATGGAAAGCAAAAGATTATGCTTTAACTTCCATTAAGGGTATCCAAAGGCCTTTCCCTAAGATTGTTTGCAAGAAGACTCATGTCGACATGAACAAGAGGGTTGATGAATCAACTTTGTAGAAAATTTAAGAATTAAATTCAAAAATAACCTTTATATTATATATTTTTGGTTAGTTTGATATTTAAATAAATAAAATTATCAATTTGATACTTAAACTTTTATTCCATCATTCACTTTGGTACTTCAAACTAACATTATTAGTTAACTTACTGATGTGGCATGAATAATCAATAATATACTAACACATATCAAAAATCAAGTCAACACCATATCATCAATTACCACATTAGCATTAATAAAAAAAATTCTAATTTAATAAAAAAAATTCAAAAATATCTAAAAACTTCCTAAAATATATAAAAAATTAAAATTTTAACATTCAAAAAGAATGAAAATTTTTCATAATTAAAAAATATTTTATAATTTTTTAAAAATTTTTAGATTTTTTCCAAAACTTTTAAATTTTTAATATTTTTCATTTTAAAAATTTTTTATGAATTTTAAAGTTTTCATTCTAATGCATGTGATATTTAGTCTTTTTAAATTTAAAAATAATCAAATTATAAATGACTATTATGAAATCTCTAAAAATAAAAGTTATATTTTAAAATTTCAAATTTAAAATGACATATATTTAAATTATTAAGAAATCCACTTTATGATATCACTAAATTTGAGAGTTTTAGGTTTAAAAAGATATGTATTTATATTATTATGAAACCTATTTTAAAAGATAATATAAAACTATATTTAAGAGTTTTAAATTGAAAAATATATATTTAGATTATTTGAAAATACATTTTTTAAAAAATAATATATTTAAATTAAGTTTTGTTGCTAACAACTAAAAAATAATTTAATTGATCTTTTACTTAAATTTGAAATTTTTGGATAATTAAATATTTTTAAATAGATATATTTTATGATAAATATTTTACAATTAAAAAATATCTTACATGTCATTAAAAAGAATTTAAGGATTCTCCTACATGTCAAAACAAAAATCATCCACCTAAGCATATATGTAAACAAATCTTATTAGGTTTCTATATATTGTACTATAATATTATATATTATATATTATATATGATATGATATATGATTATGAGGCTTCGTCCTAATTGTCTTTTGTAATTCATTACATGAACAATTAATAGTATTTTTTTTGAATCCAAAATTTAGCATATTTGTTCATGTAATTACTTTTAAATGGTGAGAGCTAGTGAATATGGAATTCAAAGTTCAATACTATACTACTTTCTGTATGTCATTATTCAGACTACAATATCTTTTTTATCAAATATATATATATATACATACATATATATATATATAATATTTGTTCCATTCAAACAAATAAATGAATGACAAAGTTTGATAAAGTAGAACTCAGAACTTAAATTAATTATTTTATATAATCATGTAAAATTGAAAGTTTAGTTCAATTAGTTCATTTAATTATTTTTAAAATATTATATCTAATATATTTAAAATTCAAATTTCAATACTTATAACTTTTTTTATAATTTTTTATATTAAAAAAATTGATAATGTAAATTATTTTCAATCTAAGATCTCGATTTGCTTACCAAGAGGTAGTGCTCCCTCATGTTATATACCCTCTCATCTTTGAAGAAAAAGATATTCAATTTTAGTTTTTTAATGCAACTATTTAAAAAAATATTACAAGCTAAGCTAACTGCTTAACATTTTTTTAAAAAGTATGATGAACATTACAAAACAATATTGATAGTAATTGAAACATTGTAAAATTTGTTATACACAATGGAAAAAAAAAAAAAAAAAGAGAACAAAAGATGG